AAGAAGGATCAGAAGGACATTGCTAGAAAACAGAGTGTTTAGCCTGGAGAAGAGATGGCTTTGGGGGACCTAGTAGCAGCCTTCCAGTAACCATGAGGAAGTTACTAAGAGGCTCTTCACAGCAGTGCGTGTCAGGAGAATGAGACACAACAAACTGAAACAGAGGTTCAGACTGGGTATAAAGAACTTTTTCACCCTCAGGACAGCCAAGCAGCAGAATGTGTCTAGGGAGGTTGTGCAGTCCCCACTCTTGGAGAGTTTCAAGACCCAACTGGATAAAGACCTGAGCAATTGGGTCTGATCTCAGTTGACCCTGCCTTGAGCAGAAGGTTGGATTAGAGACTTTCTGCGGTCCCTTCCTAACTCAATTACCTTATGACCCTATGAATGATAAAACACATGCTATTTCATACTGGGAAAGTAGTGGTAAACGGGGAGGGAGACGGAATAAAAGGGGACTCATTGGGATGAAGACATGGGTAGAGACTGCAGCAGCTCCTCATAAAGGCAGGGGTAGAAGACTGTTCATGAGGTTGTTGAGGAGAGCCAAGGAATGAAAGTGGTGACTGACAGATTCAGTGAACTCAGTCTGTAGTAGTACTGAATCAGCACAGCTGGGTCTACAAAGCCAAAGCCTAAGGCAAAGCCTGTCTTTTGGGCAAAAGAGATTACTAACCAGTTCTGGAAGCCCATGCAGGTTCCTCAAGATTACCAATGCTTCTGGTCAGGAGTCAGATCAAGACTCAGAAGTGGAAGATCAGCTACTTGTCTTCCTGACACCAGATGTCAGTCTTCACAGAAGAACTGTTTACAACAGCAATTTACTTCTACACATAAAGACCACTCCTAGGCTGCACCTCCAGGTTACCAGACACTATATTTAGTTTGGTGCTGTGAGATGTTATCTCACAAGTTTCAATGATGTTATATGAAAATCTCTTCATTTTTTTCTCCTTTTTCATTATAGTTCTCACTTTTTCTGACTGTGAAGAACAACCTGAAAACAACACGAAGATAACAAAACCAAAACAAAATGTATAAAACTGCCTGATTTTCTCTTAGGATTTCACTACTTTTTTAGCAGTCTAAAATTCTGGTTGGCCTCATTCCATGGCTTTTGGGGGAGGACCAAGGGCCGGATGGGAATGTTGCAAAATGTAGTGTTGGCATGCTCCTGTTCAACTCAAGAGGCTGCTGGCTTGGGTTGAGTTGGAATTGTTTTGGTTTTTTAATTTATTTAATTGAACTCAAAGAGCAGACTGGCCTGTGACTACTATCCAGGTCACTCACCCAGTTAGTAGGCATTCTGAAACTTACCACCTGTCAATGTGTTTTCAGAATGATGCAGTAAGGCAACATTTTAGTACTTTAAACCCACCTGTCTACAGGAACTAGGCTCTGTGAGGAAGCAGAGTTTTTGTTTAGCTATTAAAGCAAAGACAAACCAACCCACCCAGGAAAACTATGTTACACCAAAACCCAAACCAAACCTTATGCGTTTTATCCTCATTTTCCATTCTGGTTTGGGTTTGACCATGAAATTCTTATTGGAGGAACTGCTCATTTACTTGAATTTCACAGAAAATCTTTTCAGGCTTTTTATACATTTAGAAATCACAGTACCCAAAAAGGTTCATATATTTTCTTTGGGACAGTTTTTATTTTTTTTTGCTACAGTATTTAAATTACAAGCTTGGGTAATGGTTTCAAACACAATTATTTATTCCTTTTGCTAAAGGAAGCTTAAGTTACATTTGTTACAAATAGTTATTAGTCCTTTCAGATGGTCTTGGTTTTACATTACAGTACAAACTAGGCAAACATGTTTTCTTAGGAGGGTAACATCCCTTTAGGTTATTGAGTGAAATAGTACCCAATCACACAAGAATCTGGACTTCCAATCTACTCTGCTTATTTGATAGTTCAAGCTTGCCCTTTACTCCAAAAAACCCTCAACAAGGGTTTCCCTTTTCATTAGACTATTTCCTACTGCTTGTCACCAGGGCTACACATTTTTCAAGTATGAAAGCAAAGATATTGGAAAAAATTTTAAAACATGGGCTGTGTCTAGATTACAAACTTCTGCTGGCATATCTAGGCTGTGGAATATGTGCTTCCTGACTGACACACTTTGAAAACAAACCAACCTGTAGTATAGCGTGGCCATGCTACAGCACAGTGCTTTTCTTGGTGTAGTCTATGCTATTTGGGGTGAGGGTGTTAATTACATCATCAGAAAGCTCTTTTTGGCAGCCTTTGCTGACTCTACATCAAAAGTCTTGTTGGTTTAGCTCTATCACGAGAATGTCTTCAAAAATAATTACGCTCAAAAAATAAACTGGAAGGTGGGGGTTTCTAGTAGAGTGCTGCAGGTGATTCAGTGGCCACAACTTCTTTGAATGTACACTATCAGCCTGAAATTCAGTCGTATTTTAAGAAATTACTTTTAACTACTGTCAAGTACTGAACCATTCCCTGAATTTTCCAACCAACTACAAATGGTTTTATGCTGGCATAGTATGTTTCCCCTACTGCCAAGCAGAACAGCCATAAAGACAGTGGCAGGGAAGGAAACAGAATAAATAACAACTTATACCTAGAGGGCTTTAAGATGCGTGGGGCAGGGGGAAGCCTTTTTCCTCTGTTTTCTTCCTACTTATAACAATCTTAGCTGTTGCTCAGTATTATTTTACCTCAAAATACTCAGACAAGAGGAATAACTGTTCAAATCAACTATTTCTTTTAGCTTGGATTTACCTGACTGTAAGATCCTAACCCCTCAGGTCACCCAGGTGGAAGCAATGTCACCAGCAATCTAAAGAGAACAGAGCATATAGGAAGGCCAACATCAGGCCTACCCGCACGCTCTTTGGAGTTCAACGCAAAGCAAATTTTGTTACGTTGGTAGCTGCAAGTTTGATAATGTACTGCAGACCATGCAAACTATTCGCACTAACAGAATTGTCACACAAAGCAAGAATTAGTACCATCAGCTTTTTATAAAGGAATGCCAACAGAAATTATATCCAGATTCAACCACTTGGTTGCAGCTGAGGAGTGAACAGCTCAGATCAGGAGCTGGGCAGCCTGTGCATATGTGCCCCTTCCGCTCCCTCAAGTCCTGAGAGACTTTGCAGGTGTGGTACCTTGGCATAGGTTGGGAAGGCTGGAGAGATGCTGCAAGTTACAACACAAGTCTCAGGTTGCTGAATTACACAGAATGCCTGGCTGCTCATTCTTCATCGGGTACGTGTTGGTAAAGTGGTACCCAACCTCTTCATGATCTTCTTGTAGGCAGTTCTGCTCATACTAGTGAGCCTTTGCACTGGGAATATACCACGAAGCAGACACACCAGGATTTCGACCACTGATTTTAAACTGAATTGCTTATTAAAAATTGCTTTGACTTTAAATAGCTTTACAGTTTTAAATAAAATAATTACTTTAAAATAGTTTTAATTAAATGAACCTAGAAGTAAAGGATCTTTGATCTCCATATCTGATATACTTTTGAATAAATAGTTCTATATATACCTCTTGATCTTTTTGGTGATGAAGTGCACAAAAACTTAAAAAGATTTTTTTAAGGTGAAATCAACAGTTGTCTCTCTAGGAATAAACTTAATATCCTGAAACACTCACTGTAAAGTTACAGAAACCCAAAATATATTCTAACTACATAGTCACTATTTTATACATATTTTAACTGAATGCATGCTTTTTAATTACTCTGTAAATTACCAAAAAAGAAAATTAAGATTATTTTTAAAAGAAAAAGTAATAAATACAAACCCAGACTTCAAATAATAAACTGAACCAGCCAGTAACACTTTAAAATACAAAAGTGTCTTTCCCTTTCTCCTTTAGGTTAGCTCAGCAGTATAATACTCTGAGGACAACAAACAAAAAATATACCAAACTACTGTTCTCAAGTTTCATTCTGAAAGCAAAAGTTTTCATTAATTTGGGCATTTTAAATTTGCTAGTTTAATATAAAGCTGCTCATGAGGCTCCCTAAGGTATAAATAAACCAAGCCTCCGCAGTGAAAACAAAAAGAGAAATAATACATGCAATTTATTCTAGAAAAAACCTGTGATTTTAACTTTCACTTTAAAAAACCATTAAGTATAACAGTGCATTAGGAACAATCAAGCTCACTAGAGGGACAATTTGCTTGCAAATGCCAGAAAGCATGATCATTTAATGTTATAATTCTGAGCAATACCTTGAAGATTTAGTTTCATAGTATTTTACAAAATAATATTCTAAACCTGAACACACTGCATCATGTAACATTAGTAAGCAGGAAATCATGGAGTGGAGTGACGTGGACCCCTCAAAAATGCTGTTTCCTGAGGTGTAAAGGAATCGTTTCACACTAACACCCTCAGCAGGGTTAGGCCATTATGCTCTGTGCAAGAACAGTTGCCACATTTTGACCGGAGTGTGGGCCAAAGGCCCGCATATCTAATTTTCACCTTCGCAGTCATGTCAGTGTTTTTCTCGCATACCACACAGGGAGGGCTGAGCACCAAGTAATAGAAATACCCATTTAAAATGACTCTTTGTACTGATTTAAATTTCTATAGCTGATAGAAAAAGAACAGATTTTACAATACAGGTCTCGGAACCGCAGGGCAAATAGATGCAAATGTGCTTTATCTGCTGGAACCAGTGCCCTGGACTACTAACATGCCGTGGATCTGCAGTGAGCCTCTGAATCTCTTCTGTTGGATCAGGCCCACTTTACATAAGCATTCACTCATTGAGAGAGGCTGCAGCCACACAGTTCAGTGATCCTGTGCACTCATCTGGGATGAATCAGACATGAGCCCTAATTGCAATAAATATTCACAAAGGCAAGGATCATTATTCCCCATTTATGGAGGAGAAACTGAGGCACAAAGTGATTACTGCAAGTCAGTGACAGCTGGACAGAAAACCCAGTTAGCCCCACACCTGCTACCAGGTGCTTTAAAATTGGCCAAAGCCACTTTACTATTTAACATGAATAATTTACTAAACATCTTACTTTTGTTTCTGTGTTTAGTGAGACCAATGATTTCTTTTTTAACCTTCCATTTCTAAAACAGCCCACACAATACTGGGAGTAAAGTTCCAGAAAATTTAGTTAAATCTGCCAGCAGATTTATCCCACTCATGATGTTTGCTGTAAGCTACAAGATACAGGGACAGCCTGTTAATCACCAAATGAGGGCTCCATGAATGCCACTGCACTCTTCTCACTCCACCCAAATAATTACATGGCTCACCAGGAGAATAAGATGGAGAAAAATATTAAGACTTAGAAGAAAAATAAAGTTTCCATAAAACACAAACTTATTGCATGATAGCTGGAGGCAACACGTTTGCACAAACAGCTGTAAATTAAAGCTGTCCTTTTACTAAGCTTCTGGAGATTGCTTACACAATGTGTGGCAAAGGGAGAGCATATAGAAGACAGTTAACTGTCTTCTTTCTTCTTCACTTGCTCAAGTTGTCGAAAAGCTACTTGCCTACTCTCAAAAGGGTGAAGACAATAACATTTTATTCTCCCATACCACACTGCTACAGCATAATGTGAACATTTTGCCACCTGATTGCTAAACTAGAATTTTCTTGATTTCTAAGTAAAAGTGTAAGTACATCATCAAATACACATCATCTGCAGGTGGCAAGTGTTAGAGAACTTGAAATCACAATTTTTTTCTACCCTCTCCAGTAACCACTGGCGAGCTTTCAATATGCTGTCTCTGCTCATTTCAACTATGAGAAGGCTATCCAGTGTTTAAGTTCTTCCATACGCCGCAGTATCTGGGTATAATAGAAATCCATGTTGGCTGCAAAGTCCGTACACACAGGGGATTCCATGTCACCAAAGGTGCAGTACAATGCAGTTCCTCCAATGCTAAGGAAAACAGTTGCTATACACAGTAGGATCAGCAAAATACAGGAGCCACCAGCTACTTCATCTGTAAATGTAAGAGCAGAAAAGGTGAAAAAGGATGATACACAAAGCAATATGAATGCATGTGAGAAAATCTGAGATAGGTTTTTACCATGAATGGTCAGGAGGTAAACGCACTTAGTAATGCTCACTTGCATCAAAGTGACCATAATACATACAAGGAACTGTATGTTTCTCCACCCAGTCTTTTCAGAAACCTAAATAATTATATAGCTTCATTTCTGTGACCTGTGTAGCTGTTCTTGCTGATAACACTTGCGGAGTCCTTCCATGCTGAAGCAGAATACACTTAACTATGAGAATGTTGCAACCAAAGCCTTCCTCCATGGAGATAGTTGAAATGAAATGGAAGCTTTGAAACTAAAACAAATGGAAACATTCTTGCTTCATTTGTACTGACACTGACTGTGCTACCATAACTGTTTGTTTTTAGTCTTACATTTTGACTGTAAGGATAGAGCCAAACCTTCAAGGTAGGCTAATGTGAAGGGTTATTTTACATTTCAGTTATTCTGTGGTAACTCTTTACATGATGGTTTATTCTGGAGTAAGAGCAATAAAGAGGTTGCAGAGGTGCTGCTACATCTTCACAAGCTCGCTTGTCCTTGCTAACTTGTATGCATGAACAACATCTGCATCTTCTGTCAGATTGAAAAGGCTCTAAGAAAATTTCTGAACTCCCTTCCCTCTACATCAGGAAGAAGAAACAGGGGAAAAGAAGATAAAAAAGAGGAAACATGCAAGCACTTTTTTTGTGCATTTGAAATCAGATTTAAAATAATAGTAATAAACAGCTTTCCTTTTGAATCACTAAATCCCTGGGAAAAAAAAATCATAGAAGAATCTCCAACTGAGATTTTATTCAAAACATAAATTGTTTTAAAATAAATTCAAGAAAAAGATGGCATAATCTCCCTTTGGGGCAGTGAATGGATTTTCTTTTCAGCGTATGAGACATACTTAATACACTTTTAAGCTGAAGACCTCCATTAATACCATTTAGTGGCTGGCACACACAACAGATATAGAAAGAAAGTACCATCATTAGCAACCAAAAGTATTTTTCTTAACATTTCTTTAGTTTGAATAATAGAGATCTTAAACTCTGAGAAAAGCATAGCAAAATAATATATTCTATTTCTTATGAGGCTAAAAGGTAGTAAGGTTTTAGCCAAATTTAATGACAGCTAGCAAATATGTATGAATGTTTAATTGTAGCGCAAGGTTAGAATCTGATACCCCCAAATCCCATGGTCTACTAGAAAGGGTTGGAAAGCTATCTGTGGACAAAGCATGACAGACTTGTTCTTTCGCATCCCTCTTTACCTACATGGATTAGATTTAGGGAGAAAGCCTACACCTCCCACCTCTAAGTTCTAAACGTTAATGAAAGGATGTCTTTTAGATGTCACTTGCAAATCATTCAGCTAGAGGAAAAAACCTGTGGCTTCAGTCTCAACCAAGCTTTAAAATGGAAGTGTACTGATTGTATCCTTCTGTAGCCTTGTTACTTAAACCTGGTATAGAATAATCTTTGGTCAATCACCTTCACTTATTATTTGGTTAAATTTTAAAAAGCCAAGACACTTCTCTCTTGTGAACAAAAATATCAGTATCATTTGCACCCCAAGAGTGCAACCCATGAATTAACAGCTTTAAATTACCTTGATCCAATGTGTCTTCCATTTCTTGGAATCGCACTCTTCTCTTTGTTTGCCTTTGCTGGACTTGAGCAATTGTTTTTCCTTCCCTGTCATCTCTCTTCTTTAGTATAGACACCAATCCTTCTGCTGGGGCAATCTATCAGGAAAGACAGTGAGCAGCACAAGAGATGAGAGAAATCCAAGCATGGGATCTATTTAACAATGACTTTAAGTAGGAAATGAGCTAAACAGCTAAAAAATGGTTTCCACTCTACTTTTCTTAAACATTGCAGCACTTGTGAAACCTCCTTCTTGAATACATCAATTCCTTAACATGCAGGACAGCTGCAGTATCATTCTGCTGTCTGCTGACACTACTTGCCATTAATTGCTATCAAAGTTCAATACACATACATTCACGCTTTGGATCATACTTTGAATTCACTGCAACAGTTCCTTTGTAAGCTCACATTATTAAATCACATGGGTTGGGGCAGTGGTGAGGAGGGTTTGCGTCAAAAACACCATCATTGGAGGGCAATAAGAAGTCAATGACACACTACTGCTGCCTTACCCAAAGATATAATCCTGCAGAGACTATCAAATACTTACCGTGAGATCAATTTTCCAGCATTGCAATTGGTTCCTGAGGGTGGACAACAAGCTACAGTAGGGCCACAAAACCAAAAAGAGGTAACCCAGGGAAAAAGAAAGCTTCAATGCTCTGTATAGATTCCAGCTTCACATTGTAATTAGCTCTCTGGATACAGTGGCAGTTCAAAAATCCTTCCCTACAGGCTGGTCACCCAAAAAGCTTGCACAAACAGGGATACAGTCAACAAATCAATAAACTGTAACTTCTCTGTCCTTTGCTACAGCATTTGGCTTAGCTGCAAGAGTGTATGCTAAGCCATACAAGGATGTTACAGCAGCCTGAGCAGTCCGTAATTTCCTAGTTATTAGAGAAATTAAAGTAGGAGAAATATCAGGAGAAAAAATGCTTTCCTAAGCAAGTAGTTCCCGATGTGCTAGAAATAAACAGAAATTAAAACAGGAAGCATATTTAGACATGTCCTTTTTTATCTTGAGATCATCTCTACCTGAAAAAAAAGTCTTAGTCATCTCTTCATAAATGAGTAGCACTTTTAAAAACATATTCTGTAGATCAGCAATAATATTTGCTAAATTGAAAAGTAATCTGTATACATTTGTGCTACAGATAAGAAAACAGACCACATTTGCAACTGAGTTTGCACCTCATCTATGTAGGAGATGACCCCAAATGCCTACAATTTTCACAAAAACTCAAAGTGGAAGAAAAGCAACTTTCCAGATAACACAGTGGTGGCAGACAACTGACTGCTTAACATTCCCCATAACCTAATCAAGTTAGAAGACCATGCATAAAAACTTGTTTGCACTGCAATTATAAGAGCTGTAGAAAAACAGAAAACAAGTCACTTCATAACTTATGCCCCTAAACTTGCTTCATGCTACAAGCTTATATAATGCATCAATGCATGCTGTAATCAGAGAGATCATGCAGTGAACACAGCGAAACACAGCACAATCCAACAGGCACTGTACCAGCTATGGCATTTGGTGTTTGCAACATTTTAAGTGGTAAATGTGGCAATTACATTTGCAGGTCTCTAATCTGGCAGTATTTTATAGTCCTCAACTGGACAAATCATGTTGCTCTGAACAACTCACAGAGTTGGTCACTCTGGGTATATGCCTACAGTCTAACAATTCTTCCCCAAATCACAACTGAGAGGATAAAATAGATCTCTGCCACACTTCCCCTTTTGATATTCACTTTCCCTTTTGATTATCTGCTCAAGAGCTTGAATGGATTATTTAATGAAACAATGCAATGAAGTACTTACAAAGTAGTGAAAGTGTGGAGGTGGTGGAAAGAAATTGTTTAAGTCAGCATATGGAGGAGCACTATTTGGCAAAAATGAACCAGAAATAAAAGCCCACAAGTGTCTCATCACAACAGACAAGTGCACTGGGGTCAAGCTTCTACTGGTAATTAGCCTTGCAGAACTGCCATGAACATTTATCAGGCCAGCCAGAAAATGAACACTTGTGCTTCCTTGTGACTTGGACACTCGTGACAAGGAAGGGGACCGTATCGGAGTGCATTAATTTGAAATTTATTTGGGAGGGCAGAGATGAAATTATGTCCTTTAAAAGAGTAGATTATTTTAAGCTTCTGCATACGGCATTGCTTTCATAAAGAGGATCAATGGCTCCTCCTGCACCACCCATGCAGCAGGCTAGCTGTCGCCTGGCACATGTGTTCCCAAGAGGCTCAGACTGCACTTGGTGGGAACGTCACCCAGGGACGGTGGGGCGTTTGTACCTGTCTGCCCCAAGATTAGTATGTGGCGGTCTGTTCCACAAGTAGTCACTTCAAACGGAGACACTTCATTTGGTCTGTTGGCTCTTGGTAATTTTTGAATCACTGTGTCACAAGCTGTGTCTTCTCCAAGCTTAAAACCAGAGGGCTATCTTTGACAGGATTATGTGGAAATGTGTGTTTCAGTGATTACAGTTACATAAAAAGCTTGTGACAGGAAGTCTTGCTACAATGAGGTTCACTTACTTTCCCTGTCAGCCTACATTGCTATGTATAAAGAACTAACTGACACAGCACAGGTTTCTCTATTCTGAAAGTCTTCTTTTGCTTAAAAAGGGGGAGCAAGAGCTTCTGATTTTGCAGGAAAATCAGTGTGGCTACTGTTACTCTCCTGTCCTGACAAAAGCCATAGACCATATTTTTAAGAATGTCCCCTTTACACAATATGTAATTCATACCTAGAATATTTCATCTGCCTTTGAATTTCATGAGTCATGTAATTAAGGTTTTTGTTTGTTCTGCAAAGGACCTACACCTGCCTCCTAATCAGGATACAGCTTATTCTTAAAATGCAAATACAAATACAAACATATGGAATTCTGCATAAAGCAATATTTACACCTTCTTTTCTACCATATTCTCAACTGCAGCTCAAAAATATTTAATGCAAACATCACCACATTTTGTTTTTCTTATTTTCAGTCATAAAAATGTCATTACTGTAAGAAAGACTGTCATGTAAGAATAGGGTCTGTCTTGCTACAAATAAAATTTCATTCAATTAAAACAACTGTAAATGTGTTTTTCTTCCATACCTTTCATTTAGAAAGATTTCAAAGCAATATACAAACTGATTGTATTAGATCCATCTCCCATTAATTAAACATCCAAGGAGAGGGACTTAGTTGCCATGCAAGACTTGAAGTTTTCCATCTCAGTCCTTAGGAGGCAGGAGGAACTTAAAAAGGCAGAATACATTACTTAAATTGGAAGTTAATGAGGGAACTGTGGTTAATACAGTTGACCACAAGTCAAGCCTCTGCTTGACTTGAACCACAGGAGGAAAAACGTAGGCTTGCACCAGGCTGCACTGCAAACAGCTCTGCATTACATGAGAGAGCTGCATAAAGACCCTATTGAAACATTGAATGTTTTCTTAATTCTAAGTTAGATAATTCAGAAAAGATGCTCTTGGAGCATCTATGTAACTAGGCTTACTCACTCAGCTCTGCTGGCCTTCACAAAATCTTTTGACTGGAGCTTTTGTAATTACTGTACCGGAACTGAAAATGGCATACAGGTATGGGGTGGCATTTTGACCAACAGTCAAAAAGGAAAGCACCAATGACTGTCAGTTAATTGAAACTCTGTTAAGTATTTTAGCTTTTCTCTTTTTACTACTATTAATACAAAGTGATTCTGTTTCACAGAAAAGTTTTAAACTTTTTTTTGGATAAAGTTTAATATCCTGGCTAAAAAATAAGAAAACATAAGCTCTAATTAAACTACCTGTCTTTTCTCTGTTTAAAACAGCATTTGCTAATAAAATATTAAAAAAACTTCTTACATTATGCATATTTTCACCAAATATGATGTGTGTATATATGTATTTATAAACATATTAGACAAAACTAGGAAAATAAGGTCCTATACTTCAAGCTCTCAGAGAAAACAGATTAAACTTGACTGCTGGAATCATTCATAGCCTACAGAAGTAAATAAAAAACCCCAAACCAAAGGCACTGCAAACTGGGATCTAGGAAGAAAAGTTCATTGTATGAAGTATTTTGGTCTGAATGCAGAGAACTACTCAAGGAGGAGTTTTGTTTGTGTATTCTTCTGTGGGCTGTATTCCTTAGTCAGTTACTTGGCAAAGGCCTACAGTTTTATTTCTAGCAATACCAGATTTTTTTAAAGCGGTAATCCATAACTGTACAACAAACTGACAAAAAGCAAGATTATCCTGGGTTAAGCTACAAGCAGCAGACAAACCCCTTCACTAACAAAATACATTAGACATATGAATAATTTGACTTTGAAAAGGAGCTAACTTAGCAGATTCAGTATTCACACCACAGCATCAAACTCTAGTCATTTTTCTGCTGATAGGCTTGCCATGCATGTACTGGGGCTCCTTTATACAGCAATAAATAGCTCAGATACCATGTAAGCATTTCATATGGAAGCCTAATTCCTGCAAACTCAAAACTCCAGGACCCAAGCCACACAAGAGAACAGGGGATCTCAACAAGGCATTGTCTCCAGACCTAGTACAGATAGGTGGAGACTTCATCGCTGCAATCAAATTAGCTGCTAGTCAGGACATACTCAGTACTTTTAAAAAAGTCTTGGTGTATAAACAGTGCCAACCAAAAGCTACTATCTTATGCTGCGGTAAAGAGTCTCACTATCTTTGCTTTCTGAAAGAAATTTCAAATAATAATTTTTTAATAAGGAAAAACATTAAGATTTTACTTGTTTCTGTAATTGTCACTCAGATAAAAAGCTTATGTTATAAACTTCTATTTCATATGGCAAAATGCAACTTACATTATTGAGGTTACAATTTGTTTGACTGCTGGTGTGTGACTTTCCATCATTTGCATGTTGTTGTGCACGGTGGTTTGTACTAGTGAAGAAGTACCTAGTATAAGGGACTGTACAATATGTAAAATACTATTTCAGTTTTGCAATTATTTAAAGCCAGAGTCAGAATTTAGTGGATTTTCAGTCTTGCAATTAGTTGTAAATGGTAGACTAAAAGCAAGTGACATAAAGGATCTAAATTAGAAAACTACAAGAGATGATTCTTTGATCTCGATATGGGGCCAAACAAAACTTCCTAACTGTGAACACATAGGTACTTACCCTTCCCCATTTTCAATAAATTAATATTACACCTCCATTGAAGAATATTAATTAAATTTTGTCCTACCATATGATTTTTGTACCTAGGTTATTCCAAAATAATCTTTACTTCTGCCTTCCATTCTAACTTATTTGTGGCAATTTTGTAAATACTCCATGACAAGTTTTATCATAATTTTTTTTTTTTTTCTGTCACACTGGTACCTTTCATGTAACTAATTTCATTTCATTCATCTGGCTACCAATGCATTTTCCAGGTATTTCTTTCACAACTACTACCTGAAAACATTGTCATCTTATTAGATGGCCACAGCCTGAACAATTTAACTTCAAAGGCTTCAGGAGGACAACAAAGGAAAAAATGTTACAGCTGAGTGCAAAGATCAGTCTGTTTGTCAAAACATCAGTGGAATCTTATTTTAGCACTAAAACAAAATCAGTGAAAGCAAGTTAACAGCGCTGCTTTCTCAGGAGTGCTAAATTCTCAATTCCTGGTGTCTTCCAGGGAAGCTGTAGGTGCTCACCACCTCTGAAAAGCAACCACTAGGGCAATGACAGGTGGTAAGATTAATTGGAAAAACAAAATATAAGTGTATAATAAAACAATACAAGCTGGTCTGCTGTCCTTAACTCACCCTGCTGCACGTAGAAATTTCAGGTATTGCAAAACAGCCCCAGATGCTGCATATTACAAATTTTAATCAGTATTGAGATTAATCCTTCTTCTCTTCTCCCTGATTTAAACCCCCTGCCTCACACACAACTCAGGTCTCTTGCTAAAAGCAATTCAAAAAGACTCCGACCAGTGCCAGCCAACACTATGCCTTATATGGCCAGAAAAAGTACTATGGAAAGACTGAAGGTACTTTTTCTTCTCCAGAGACTCAACTCTACCATCAGAGTACTGGCAGTCCTAGCATTGAGACAGCAAACTAGAAATGAAACTAAATTCCCTGTAAAGCATCATCATTGGTCACTGGGCCAATCAATACAAGCATAATTTTTCTAACAGCATCAATATGCTCCTTCCTATCCCATCCTCTAAAATGCAAATGGCACAAACATAGCAATTCAAAAATAGTTGCTATCGGATTAATTTAGGATTTTTATATGTAAAACAGAACAGTTCTCTCCTACAGCTTAAAATGCTGAACTTTCAGTGGGCTCAAAAGAAACCTAATCCTGAGGGATGACATTTAAATTACTCTTCTGTTATACATGCAGATGGGCTTAGCACAGACTGTCAACAAAATGCTCTTTTTCAAAACCATCCTCTAAGTGAACACAAGCCAATGGATTTAGTGCAAAAGTTTGATGGCATGTATGAACATGTATGTGGGTTTCCACATCTGCATGTTGTCAAGAGCTTGTGTACAGCTTTGTCCACATGGCCCTCAGTCCTGGTATGTGGCATGCTTCCTGACATCCCAGAGAAAGACAACGTGTTTTAAGGACAGGTCAGGATGAACGATCTTGGAAAGGAGATAAGAAGCTCTGTAGGTGGGGAGAAAAACCAGAATGCTCTGTTTCCAGCTCTGGAGATTTTGTGAAACACGTAATAACATCAGCATGGATCCCCAGTATTTAGTTCCCCGCTTGGCTGCTGTCCTTGAATGATTGTGGGTTCTTAGTCTCTGTGCATTAGCTTCTGATCTACAGAGAAGTACTGTTACTTTATTGCCAAGGGATGTTGTATTGTTAAATACATTAAAAATAGAGATGAACTAAGAAGATACCTTTTTACAAGTCTTCCCCCTCCAGCATCTGGAATCACATCATTTCACAATAATCTCATTTTTTCATTTAAAGAAAAAGCTTTTAAGGTCCCATGGTTGCAAATGCACCAAAACCAGAAGACAAATAAAGCGAAGATATCATCATGCACTCTCCAAAAAAGTCCCAAAGCAATAAATCTGTATTTTCAGAAGAGCAATTTAGGTTATGAAGCACTCATCCTTCTTGTGGCCTATCAGCAGTGCTTCAGAAAGGTGGGCTCAGGCTTAGAATTTCTTTCTTAGTTTTGGTTGAACAACAAAACCGCCTAAACTTGGTAAAATTAGAAGCCCATAAATTCATAAACAGAGTTTATTACCTATGTAGTTCTCACCTATACAGAACAGGCACAGAAAAGCAAGTTTTATTCTATGAATAGAAACGAACCACATGTTACATCATAGGCATTATGTAGATCTCTAACGTGAAATTGTGATTTAAAAGGAATTGTCAGGCCATCTCCTAAGAGACTCTGTCAGAATAAAAAAAAAAGGTGTTCACACTCATTTGTAAAAATCAATCTAATTTTTAGAAACACAGAGCACTGCTGGTCAAGAAGGAGGCAAACACGCAAAAAGAAACTTTTTTCTGAATTGACTCAGAACAATTAAAGAAGTATGGATTTCTTTTCAGATTAAAAAGCGTGATATATGAAGGAATTTTGCCAATTGCAAAATGTGTTAAATATCTAAAATATTTTAATTGAGATAAACATGGAATATTTTATAAGATTCACAGTATTTACCTCAGCAATCTCTATCCTTCTTGCAAGTTCATCAAGAGAAGAAAAGCTGTCATCTAGTGATAAAGCTTCCAGTGAGTTGTAAGATGCTCGTTCAGGTGAAATATCTGGAACAGCGTCAAAGTCCTCTTGGTTTGCTAAGTTTGCAAATGATTCTTCAGTGTCTATTATGTTACCGTTTAAAAATCTGAGAAATAAATCTTCTTGTTCTTCACTGTTTACCTTCTCCTCCTGTCCTGCTGTTCTCTGTATTTCCTTGCATACTCGTGAATGGGCAGTACTCTCATGCTCAGACACTTTGTTACACTCAGAGCATACATTTGCAGTTCTGTCCCCCGAAGATTTTTCATCATCAGGCTGTTTCTGCTGCTGCTTTAAATCACTATTTCCAAGCTGGCCACTAGCAATTTCTGAAGAGCCAGCAGCATGTTTTGATCTGAGCAGATTTCTATCAGCCTGCACATCTTTATCAGTAGGCATATAATCAGCATCTGTTAAAACCAAAGCATCTACCATTGGCTCAAAAGGGACTTTCACTCCAAGCTCCCCAGCTGTGCCTTCTATTTTTTCTGCATCCTTAGAGAGCTGTCTTCCTCTCAGCTGCAAACTGTTATCTTTACCAGCATCCCCAGACGATAAACAGCCTGAAGAAGGCCTGCCCACTGTCCCTGTGGACTGGGTGTGTGGCTCCAATGTTGATTCAGCACTGCAGTGGTGCTCCTCCATGTGGTCCTTTCCTGCAGCTACCCAGAGGCTTCCTGCCTCTGTCTGTCTCTCAGTTTTGTTTTCACCTGGAGAGCTAGTGCTCATCTGTTTATCTTCTTTCTTTGGTCCAATGCCAGGACAAGTTTCAGTACCTAAGTGCAACAGGAAAAACAGTTCCAGTGTTTTTAAATGATTCAAAGCATCAGCCCAGGGAGGAAAGAGTATACTGTGATTTGATAACGTTGTAACCTAATGCTTTAAATTGCTCTCCCATAAAGGGAAGGTATTTTATGCTCCAGTCAGAATAAAAGTTTTGTTAGTAGTCTGAAAAGCTGACTCCTGATTCAGCAAAGTATTTGCACACATTCTTGCAGGCAAAGCACTATTTAGTGCCCTCCTGAAAAGAGTTACTCCCATACTTCAAGCACAATATGTATGTAAGTATATTTCTGAGCAGCCATCTTTCTTCTAAAGCATATTTTATGTGAGTGCGTCTCCTGGAGGCCTGGAGTTCAGACAAATGCACTTAATTACAGAAAACTGTATTTTGATGCTAGTATATCTATCACACTGGGAGATATCTGCATCTCCTTTAAAGAAGCTGAAATCATACTAATTTAATAAATTTTCAATTCAATTCTTTTAAGTGGGTAACTAGCTCCTTTGGTTACCTTTAAATTAAATATCCAATTACAATATTTTACATAACGGACTGCATAAAAAGATTTTGCTTTTTGGGTAAGTTAGTTTACATATTAAAAAATGCAACTGGATGCAGCTTATTTCTGTATTCACATTTACAATACAAATGAAAACTGATTTTTCTTATCTGAAATTTCAGAGAGAAACAAGGGGAATTCTACAAAGGTTGTGAATTCACCTACTATCGGCACGATCTGCTGATGAAGTAGATGGTTAGCCCAAGTTGTCAATAAAATTATTAGACATTAGCCATTATGAGAAGCTCAAAGCCAAATCTCCCCTTTTAGGCTTATAAAGAGAGAAAAGGGGTGATTAGAATTAGAATACCAATGTAAACTCGCTATGACAGAAACTGTCTTTTATTCCATACTTTAATAAAAACTAAGTTAAGACTGTATTATAGTAGGACTAGTGTTACAGTAATAGTAATAACATCAAACAACAAATTAATATGTCTAGAAAACACTCATTTGCATTTTTTGGTCATAGCAAAAAGCAGAAAGGTCTTATGAATGGATTAACAAAGAGATCAAACAATGCCCTTATTAACTGTGTATGTTCTCACAAGAATGACTGAAGATCTCTACGCCAATCTTACCCTTCCTCACCTGTTAATACCTCACTTAAAATCTAAGCAATTACCTGAACTTGTTGCATGAAACAGGGTCACATTCATTAGTCATTAAAGAAGTGTTTGCATTAATTAATTGTATTGAACAATTTTATTAAATTCTAAACTATCCCCATTTTAAAGGATAATGAAATACAAGGTAGCATAGAAAAGAGACTTGAAATTGAAAAAGAGAATATCCAATCATCTCAAAATGCAGAAAAAAAAAATCAGAGCAACATTAACAGATAGAAGGGGTATGGGGAACCTAACTTCTCTAAAACACTGAAAGAAGAAATGGGTATGAGACAGGGACTTTTTGAAAATTAGACACAGATGAGTAGATAGCTCAAGGGATTTGTAATGGGATACTGAGCCCTTCACATATAGGTCATGAGCTCAAACACAGCCTGGATTATTGGTACAAGATTTTGTTACCATCTGTCAATTTTTCTTAGTGGATACATCCACATTACAGCAGGCATCTTTGTTGGCAGCCCTGACTGCAACAAAGATTAATGGAAACAGAAATTAAGTCAAATTCTTTACCATGAAAGGTGGCCCTTGAGCTCAGGGCTCTGTTCCTAAGAAAGTAATAAATGATCCTAGCATTGTTATTTAACTACAGATGTACAGGGACTGAGATGTAATGATCATTGTTACATTCAGCATAAATTTTCAGCTGCTTTCAATATTTTCTTTACACCTACTTCAAGACACCTGCTCTAGACGACCCATGCCCACTATAGACTCAAGGCAAGTTAAGACAAATACTTGAACACTTAATTAGAAAAGATGCTTTTTCCTACTAATTTAAATGAAGACGTACCCACCAATGTGGCAGTAATTTTTATCTGACTGCCAGAGATTGACAAAGTGTCTACTGAAAATTTTCTAGCAATGAAAGCATTGATGGTAATTTAAGAAACGTTTTTTTCCCCAAACAGGGTTACTTTAAAATTGACAATTGCTTTGTTCATCACAGAAACCTGTAGCCACTACTTTTTTTATGCTGTTAATCCAAGACAGCCTAGCAGAGAGACTACTGACTTACGGCATTCTACCAGTGGAGAATTCACACTTCTCCATCTTTGTCCCTATTCCCATTTAAAACACAAATCCCATATGACCTAAAAGAAAACAGGGTATGAGCAGTTTCTCCCCAACTTGGAAACAGGTCTATAATGTACCACTGCAAACTTATGCTAAGAGTTTTATTAAATTCATCATTTCATTAGAAAAGGTTTCATGAAACACATGAATTTGATTATCTTTAGTTAACACTAAGGCTATTAAGGCTTTCAGTCAGAAACTGAAGAAATTAATGGATACAGGATGTATCAAATCTCATTTTTAATATATACACATAGCTCTAAGGGCCCAGTTCTCTCTGTTGGTATACTCAAAGAGAACATCTGCCAGAAAGGAAAATGCAACAAAACAGACCATTCACAACCCTTGCTCAGAAGGGCAGAAAACTAATTCAGTGACTCTCCCAGGAATCTTGACTAGCCAACTTCATATAAAGCTGTTTCTTGGTCACTGTATCCCCAGGAGAGAGGAATCGTGAATTCTTAGGATCAGCTGCCTACAGAGGCTCAAATTATGTTCTCAAATGCCTGCAATAAGTCAATGGAGTAATTTTTGCTTTAGATTAGTAAGGAAGTGTGATTTTACTTCAGAGATGCTACCGTAGTACAGTGCAACAATCTCAACAATGCAATATATACATCTCTACATATAAGCTAATACTTCTCATTGATAATTGCTAGATAAATTCTTATTTGGGGCGTATGAATTAATATGAAGGACAGTCTTCAAACCACTTGAGAATTTCCTTTTCCTGTCTTACCCTAAGTCAGACTTCTGCTACCAGCAACTGAGTTAAGTAGTTCTCCCTGCAGATAGGCAGATACATTTCTAAGAGAAGAAGAAAAAGTTTATACATTTACTTCTCATTTTTTGTGACATAGAGAAAAAAAACCCAAAAAGCAGAAGACAAGCATTCTAAGTTTTCAATGAGAAGGTCCATGCATTTAGGTTAATGCTGAACAGGTTAGTTTGAATATTAGGAACTGTATGGTTATTATAGTATAGGATTCTGCTGGGGTTCAGGCAAAATTAAGAACCAGCCCCAAATGGCTGTATTGTTTCTAGTCCTGAGCTGGATCACTCAGCCACAGCTTGAATATTTTTTATACAGCACTCAGCAGTGTATACAAATTCAGAGTTATGGATCATCTTTGTCCAATTTCTGTATTAGTTCATACCAATGCCTTCCCTACCCAAAACCTTCTAACTGCAATAAAAATTTTCAGGCCCATGCTGCTGACGCATTGACTCAGTGAGGGGCAGCAGTAGCTAATTGACCACGCACTGCCTTAACAGATAAAGAGACCTGTTAGGGTGAGAAGTCGTTGCTTCCTCAAGAATGTGCTAATCTTGTGAAAAGCATCTTTTTCAAATCTTAAGCATTTAAACTTCAGTTAGGCTTGAAATATTCATATCTTTATATTGAAAAGGTATTTAGCACTGCTGGAAAATTCTCAGCAGAACCGCTTTCTAATGGATGACACAGCTTTATTAATTTACAAACATTTCATGGGAACCCAATGATTTTGATGACATTTTGACATGAGTTACATTAAGAGAAAGGCATGAAAAAAACCTATATACACCATTAATTACTTCCACATTAGACTTTAATATGTCTAGATGTTGTACTACAGTATTTTAACATTGACACAAAATGCTCCTTAATACAGAAGTTTCAAATGTTCAGAAATTCTGCTCTCCAGAAAGCTTTATTCCCACTTGGAATAAAAACAATAGAAAAATTGTAAGTGCCTGTTTTTTTTCCATGGGAATTTCCAACCATCCAAAAATAAAAAGCATTGGGTTCTTTTGATCTGCTTGCTGAGCTGTAGAACGTGTTTGTTTCATGTTTTCAGTGTTTTGTGTTTAGTTAGGTTATAAGAACAAGGACATAGAAAAGGCAGTATAGGGATCATGGTAAAAGAGGATGAAGATGAGGAGGATCCACACATGTAGAGAATTGTGACTCTGTATCTTCATTAATTCCTGATTCTCCTGAACATCCTGGCTGATACACACTTGTAGCATAGCTTAGGTTTAAAGGGACCTTCTGAGGCCAACCCTCATCTTGTGAGAAATTCTAGCTGTTTGTGATGAAAGGTACTCAGTTTAGGCCCATTTTGGCAACTGGAACGTGCCAAAAAAAGAAAACATTTTGCTCATAGAGCGGAGAGATAAAGCACAGCCTGGTAGTCTACCAATGCTCTTTCCCCCTCCATCTCCATTTTAACAATTCACTAATTTGCAAATGTTTCATAAGAACCCAATGATTCTAACAAATTACTCAAACAAAACAGCCACTGCCCAAAGGCAGGAGAAAGAAAATGAAGCTGACGTAAAAGTCTGTACAGAAAAAAATTAACTGAAGTATGTTTTTCTCTTCAAGATCCCCCAAAAGCTTCCTAATTTTCTGTGCTGTTACAGAAAAATATGTCTCAAAATCAGTATATTGCATGTAATTTAAAACAGTTAATAATACTGTTAACTATACTGAATTGCCACAACTCAGAGTATTTGTCATCAGATTGTTTACCTTATATTTTATACATACAAATTATGTACCTTATCTCTAGTTTTACACAATTTTGTAGCTTATGTAGGCTGCTAGAAATGTATGCTCATTTAAAGGACATTTTTTTGATGGAAGCTAAAATTACTTTTATTACAATTCTGAATATCAATGACTAATTAAAATTGCAGAGTAAGCCCATTGTGCAGTTGTGAAAAAAAAAAATTAAGATTTGCACAAATAGATGAATCCATGGGAATCCAACAAATATTGTAGCTTCTAATTAAATAGCTTCATAGTATTTATATGAATATGTCATTACAGCATAATATTTAAAACATATGCACATGTACATACACACACACATACCTGATTTAAAAGCAGCAGCTTCTCTTTCATTTAAATTTTTTGATCCCATTAACTGATGCAAACAACCGCTTTCCCATGTACTTTCTGCAGCTACTAGCTGTAAAATATGATAGTATTTCCTGTAATTTTTGGAATTAAACAGGACAACTGTGACTTTTTGAGACATCCAAACTTCAAACAGTTTCTATACTAAACTGGAAATATTATAACTAATAATATTAAAAATATATTTATTAGCAATCTTTGACAAAGCAGAATTCAATTAAACAGCTGCTTACCTTGTTTTTGGATGCCTGTGGCCTGCAGCAATAAAGAAAAAAAGAATAAATTAAACAACTTCATAGCAATATTTTTCATAACAAATGTCACTGAAATCTTATAAACCTTTGCTCTGCTCTAATATTAGCACAGAACTCTTCTTACATTGGAACAGTGTCAGCATGCTAGCATACTTTCAAGCACAGATCTGTACCATATGTGAATATCATCAGAAGACCAATTAGCCCAAACATTGCTCCACCTAATTGCGAAAGCAGTCAAAAGAAAGTTTACTGCAATGTATCAAGTGATCTAAATTCCTGTAAAACTTTTATGCTCAGAAGGAACTTTACCAACTTTAAAAATCATGTAAGGACTCAGTGTCTACTAGTATTAAAAATAATGATCACTGTAACAGAGACTGAGGAATGGAAAAAAACCCCCACAAAACATATTTCTCTCTCCACAGACTGTTTACACTGGGACACGTTTTCTGGGTGCTGTAAGATACAGCAGCTCCCACTGATTTCACTGGGATGCACAGGTGAGTCAGCGCTGCTAACAGCATGGACTTTGCAAACTGTGTAGAGATTCATGCACGATGTATTTTATCATGCACAATCTGTCTCGCAGCCTTTCATACAGCAATGAAGATAAAATGTTGACCATTTTGTTTAAAGCTACTGAAAATAAAAGTAGGAGAGGCAAAAGGGAAAAGCATTGATGTTCATACTCTTTAACAAACTTTTAAAACTTGCATTGACTTTTAAATTTTAGCATTCAAACTTCAAATAAAGGGCACTCAAAACTATCTTTAAAGAACACGTCCAGTATGTAGCTGTAGACCTTGAGTATCAGAAACTTTCAATTCCAAAAGCAAAAAGCTCACATTTTCCGAGACCTGCATGTTATTCATTAAAAATTAAAGTATAACTTTAATTATAAAATAAATTGAGATTAAAGCTTAGGACAAAAAAATATATGAAACAAATAAAAGCAAATAGGCTTTTGCCTAGAGAGTTTGGAAGAGTAATAGCATTACAGAGAACTAATCATGGCAAATGAACACAAGCCTTAATTTTTATCAAATTGCAGGGTTTCTCAGAAACAGGAATGATGTTACATAACTGAAATTTTGTATTATGAGGTGAGGCTGCATGGAAGAATTAGAAAGAGAAAGTAGAGTTATTCTCAACAAGGTGACAATCGAGGTGACAATAGGGAGGTGCTGCTAGTTGCAGCATACAAATTGCAATAGACTTGATTCTTAATCTTTCTGTGGGCTTGCAAAGTGATGTGCAAGGAAATGTAGCCCAAGGAACCCTGCAGGCACTCAGAGTGCAATCTCTCAGTAGCAGCAGGCTGTGGGTGTAAACATGCAGCTACGGTGCTAGAGCTGCCTCCTCCTCCTGTGGAAATGCAGGAGTACACCTTCCAGGGGCTCCCTTGCAAATGCATTCATACTACAAATAAACAATCCCTGCCTGGGTTCTGGCAGTCAGCCTGGGTGTTTTCAAACTTCTGTATGGTCACCCAGAAGAAAAAACATGAAGGCTAAATCATACTCTCTGTGAACACAAGCATTTTGTCTTTTGTTACTCCCAAACTGACTAAGCCAATGCAAATGTATTTGAAAAAGTTCTCTCTCCCCATCTGATTGAGAGCATCTCCCCTGTCACAAATTGCTCTTTTCACAGCCTTTGCATGTGGCTAGTTTCTGTATTATCGTTGGCTGATTGTTTTTCAGTGGCAGCTGGTATAATTTTTTCCATCTGTCCTTTAAACTCAATGTCTAGTAGGTAGGACATTCACCCATGAAATAACAGATCTCCTCCTTTCTGATGGGTATAATCCTCTATGTGGTACTCTCCAGAAGAGCACCCTAGGCACCATCCAAAAGTTTGTGATACTATGATATACTGATTCAGGAGGCTGATGAATCAGGCAAAGCAGGTATGAACCAAGATTTCACAACTTTTCAGAATACTGCCACACTAGGGAACTACAGAATCACTGCTTCATAATGTTTACGCAACCTGTATGAAATCAACAGAAGATAAGGAGAATGACTTAAAGCATTAGGGAATTGTCCTAAAATGTGGAAAATCTGGGAATAAAATCCTACAGGGTAGATGTGAGTGCTGGAGTCTGAGATGCTGGGCAATTGCATTTAAAAACAATGATTAAAACAACAGGTACTAGACACAAGCACCATCATCAGTTCTACAGTCTCTCTCTTCCTAAATTAACATTGCTCAGTTTTTACTTTGGCTGAAAATACTAAAACTCAAAACTCCACTTCTGGCAAACTAATGATTCCCTGAAAACAGTTCAGATCTAGTCCCTATACATTCCTCAGACCATATTAAAACATTGTGAAAATTGATGGTAACGGAATCATTTTAGTTAGGTATCAAAAAGAACCACCACTTTATAACCAAATTCACTTAAGTCAATGGGATGCAACTTTTATTTTGACACAGACTATTTTAAAACACCTACACTGGCAAGTAGACAACAGATGCACTAACATATTAGTACTGGAAAAGTAATAATATTTTCGTATACTTACTGTTGATGTGAAGAGCAAACTCTAGTAAGCTTTTCCAGCTCTTCACCGCTCAGTTCTTTAGCTGAATTCCTCAGTGTTGTAACTGCACTAGGAACTGCTGTTTTCCATTTTCTTTCTAAATTACATCAAGATAATTTTTACCCAAAGTACTATAAAAATAGTATTTGCTTAACATAAAACATATATGTGAAACTAATTAATGGACAAACATTGGCAACTCTTCTGTGTATGCTCTACAATCTTGTTTCACACTATGCAAAAAAACATTGTATTTTTTCACAACACATTTTATTTTCATCACATCAGATTCACCAACCCTAAACCAAAAATAAGCTCAAAACAACTGTGGATCAATCAAAGTCTCAATTAATAGAATAAAGAAGGACAAACTATTTGCACCTTTTTCATGAAATGTGTGAGAAGAGATCTAAAGCAGGAATACTTCTCTTGTAACAAGCTCAGAGAAATTCTGATATAAATGCTGCTTTTGCTATGTAATATTTTTAAGCTGGCAAAATGTATACTCTATTATTTAGAAATACAAAACAAATTAACTCTTTCTTGTAGCATATTAGTTTAGCCTGTACTCACCCCACTGCTCCTGTATGGAAGAAAGATTTGCAAGTAGCTGCTCATGATACAGTCGTTCGAGCTGAATGAACTTCATCGCCTTCTCATCTGAATGGAAGGTTAAGAAAAATGCACACATATATGGACATGTTACGATTTATTTATATTTGGCACCATATTTGAAAGGGCAATCATTATGTACCTGAAATTGGACATAATTGAATCAAAATGAGTAATGGCTAGCATCCAGATTTCTGTGCAAGGAAGAAAATAATAGCAGACATGAAAACAGCAAGTAAGAAGTAAGCTAAGTTGAGAAAAGTTCCAAAAAATTAAAATCCTATTCTCTTCAGCAGTTACCTATTCCCACGTGCCTTAAGTCCAACAAAAGCTTTTCTAGAAAAGAAACGAGCAAAATGTTATTATGGTGACAACTCTTATCAGAAAACAAAATACCTGGAAATGAAAAGCAAAACAATTATACAAGTACCAGCATGTATCTCTCAAGAAATACAATTATATGTCAATAACCATAACTAACTGAAAATATGGCTCCTTTCTGCTGACTAGCAGGAGACAGTATTTAAAAAAATTCCCCAACTCAAACTTTCAAGAAATACCCTCCCCCTTTTCAACCATCGTATACAACACTGTGGGACAGCTGAGTTCACCTTTTTCTTCTTTCTGAAGATTCTGCTTACCTTTCTTCTATATGAAGAACTCTTTTCTCTCCCTTAGGGTTATCAATATATTCACAAAGGTATACTGATAGTTATATATTTTGTAATAGTCAGGATAATTCTAGTTCTATCACGCCCAAGTTGTTAGTTTTTCTGTTTTAAGCCATGTTTTGCCAGCTATCTGAAATTTAATTCTACAGTACAATGAGGATAGAAGTACAGTGAATGAGGTTCCTAGTAATATAGAAAAAATATTTTCCATTATTCATGCTAATTAGAATACTGGAGTAATTATTACAAAAACATAACCAGTACTTGTTATTCTTGTTAGCCTCATGCAACATATACATAGCATGGCTCATGAACAACAATATTAATGGGAAGAATATTCCCTGCCTTCAAGAAATCTGTTATTATAAACAGAATTACAGATCAGAGAGATAGCCTTAGAGGATCACAACAACAAACCCTGAATTATTGTTAATATGAAGTTCTACACTGGATGAATTAAAATGCCTGTCATGGATAATTAATAGTGCAACATGATCAAGGAAGTTCTTTATTAACCTCAGGAAACCGATGGTTTCAAGTACAGAGGAGATATCCTTCATAAATATGTATTATATAGTGGTGTTGAATTCCACACATCAGGTGTACATTGCATTAAAAATATTTCCTTTGATCAGCTCTAAATACAGTGCCCTTCGATTAAAGCAACTTCTATGAAAGAGAAACTGTCTTTCTATCATACTGCTGAACACATTTTAAATTTACTGTATTTCCCCCTGCAGAGCCATAATTTAGTACATATTTTTTCCATGCCTTTATTTTGTGCTCTGTATTTTGGATTTTCTGATGGATGCTTTTGAAATATGGTGACCAAGACAGAAGTAAAGCCTTCTAAGACAGTGATGGATATTTTATATATTGCTTTTATAATATTGCAAATTATTTCTCTGGTTTTGTACTAGAGGCTAATATAATTTGGCTAGGTTTCAAGGATACCTTTCCAGGTTTCTTATGCTTTGTTACTTAACCATTATAATTGCCTATTTGCTGTATTTTGTTTGTAACAAATTACATAATAAAGAAATAATCTTTATGCACAGATTCTGTCATTTATGACGCATCTTAGTGAATCACATATACCTTAAGGGTTTACCACTCTTGCCTCTTCTTTTCATAGTCTGATCATTTTCCCTTAAAAGCAAATAGAGGAAAACCCAGTCCACCTTTTCTAAAAATATAATTTCACTTTAAGGTTTAATACGATTATTCTCTCCCACAATTACTGAAATATATCAGAGTAATTCACAACAGTTCAACTATTATAACTTTTTGAACAAACTTATTTGTATTATCTATGAACAAAAAAACCCAAACTGGACCACTGAACTAGCTGTTGGCAGAAGCAATACCCATGTTGTCCTACAACAGTATCTAAAACTACCTCGATACGATTTTGACTAATTAGCATTTGCCAGACAACATGTTGTTATTGTTTGCAGGTTGTTGATCTCCCTTAGCTCAGTGTGTTTGGTATTTTTATTCTAACCTAGACACTTGCAGTACATATTCTAATCAAACTGTTGTGATAATTTTGTTGTCACCATAATAGTGCCCTATTTGATATAATGGAATACAGACCCTATCTAGATTGGACATATTCCCAGTTACTAATACTTAGAACAGAACTTGCCGTATGAAAACAGAAGTTCTTTGAAAACATTTTCTTACTTCCTTGTTTGTGCACAACTACTAATGATTGTATCGGTACAGCTTTTGGAAGGGGATTTATTGCTTAACTCATATTCCAGCTGTCTGATTAAGAAGGACTGCTAACATATTGTATATTCACTCATGGGTAAATTATGGCTGTTCACTTCTTTCTAACCCTGACCCACGACCTGTGAGTCAATGGTATAGCATTTGTCTTTTATGTTTTATCATGCCAGATTATTTTAATATCTCATAACAATTTCTGCAAGTAAAAGGATACATTCCTCCTCTTGAAAATAGGTCTCAGCTATCTGCAAAAGTAAAAAAAAGAAAAATTAGGATTCTGTAATTTTCATGAGAGTGATAAGGATATAATACAAACTTTTTTTCATAGATTTAAACATCTGTTTTGCAGATTCATATTTAGTTTGGGTAAAATGCAAATGTTCAGACTAAATACATGTATTCTTATTGTAGGAAAGATGTTTAAAAAGACTATCAAACAGCAAAGAAATATTAAGTCCTCTCACACAAACGGATTTGCCCAAATGTTAGTTGGGTTTTATCTTGTTACAACAACAAAAAATTATTTCAGAAACTTTTTAATGATCATATTAGAAAGTTTTAAAATTACCTAGAAGTACTGTGGTTACTGCTATGAGTTGAAGAGTTTGAATTCTGTTACTGAGCATTGTTTCCTTATGTTTGACCAAATTAAGATCATTGCTGAGCTCTCCCGAGCATTACAGTGCAATGTGATAAAATGGAGAAATGGAGGTTTCCTGACTGATGAGAAAAGAACAATCTTTGGATAAAAGACACTAAAAATATCACCTATCACAGCATCAGAGGCACACCAACGACCTTCCTGTTTATATCCTATTAACAATAAATATTTACAATAATTACAACACATTTCAAATACATAGAATTTGAAATATTTACAATATGAATATTTGAAATTCATGAGATAAACATATAAGGACTCAAATTCTTCATTTTTTTCTGTATTACTCCTAGTCCACCCGCAGAAGCCAGACAATACCATTGCAGCAGCCTTCTGCCACTTCCTTTCCTGAAGCTGCTCTGCTGTGTTAAAAAGATTTAAAGACCTTCTACCTCATGTGTCAGTTCGCTAAGTCTAACACCTTGATATCTGAAGCTCTTCAACAATAGAACAAGTCATGGACTTAAGCCAGATGGCAGTTCTTTGATTTGCACTGTAGTTGTTATGACATGGAACAAATCTGCAGTTCTTCCTCCCTAGCTTGACATTTCTATAGCAGAATAAGTAAAATTGGATTTGTAACACCTCTGCCAAAAATGACCATTTAAAAAAAACACCTAAAAATCACAACAATTCTTCAAGTTGTTCTCTTAGATGGATGTTTATTTAATACAGACAAGTCAAAACAAAGAAATACTAGGGAGTTGACACAAAAAATAAGCAAACTTTCCCTGTTGCATTTAGAGCTCAAAGTGCTAAGGAGGTTTAATATAGAGAACAAAAATAGTTCCCAAGCAGTTACAGAGGACCAAAAAAAAATCACACATAAGACAGACTACATATAAAATACTTGAACACCAAAGTCAATCTACAGCACTTCTAGCTTAATAAAATGTGTAAGCTAACATTAAATGCTGCTGGAACAGCTGCTATCTTAGCCAATGGCTAGGAATTGAACAAGGGATCTCTATGCCTAAGCATTCAAGATGTCCAGCTGCAACATCTTAAAAAACAACTTCACCCTGTCTGGGTAATTTTATAACGCCTATCTTTAACAGATCACTGCAAAAAGGAACAGTAAATAGATCACCAAGGGTTTATATACTGAGAAGCTGTGTATAAACTAAGAATACCAGCATGCAAACATAAGAGAAAATTATGTTCCAGTATACCAAGTTATTGCTATAGCAAAGCTACATATTTTAATTGCAGACTACTGAAATAGATTTACTATCCTCCTCCTAGTGATCTTTTACTTTCAACCAGGTATTTCAAAGCCAAAATCACAAGCATGGAAGTGGCCGAACTTCTAGAAGAAAAGTTGAGATGCCAGTTAGAAAAAATATTTTTCCTGTTAATCAAGTAAAGGGATCAGTTTTTTGGTTTGTTTGGGTTTTTTTCTGTTGTTTTTTTTCCCCAGAACTGATATAAAAGATTATTTCTTGGACTAAAAGGGCAAAGACACCATTGTACTAGAGTCCATGCAACCAGCTCAGACAAAAGCAAATATCCAAAGACAGTCAGAAAATGAGCATGTTTTGAATCAGAATCAGAATTTCACTTTGACTCTGAGTTTGTGGTGGGGAGTATTATAGAAAAGATAGAGCTGATACCTGGAAAGGAAAAGGTGTTAACACTGTATAGAAAAGCTAACGTGGTAACTGCAACTTTTTTCTTCCAATTCTTCCCTGTAGAAAAATAATCTTTGAGACTTGCAACAACCACTTATTTGTGCTTGCTAGAAAACTGGGCAGGCTACCCTAGAAAGCTGAGGAATACTGATGGCTTTGTTTGTAAATGCAACAAAATACAAAAAATATAAACCTCAGAAATAAAAATATTTTGTTCCTCAGAACTCTACAGTATCAGTGACCTTTACAAGCAGTAACTAATCAATCTTCAGGGACAGCGAATGTTGGCAGTCTTCCTATTTGCCATGCAGGGTGTGACAAGGGCCCCTCTTGCAAAATGTGTCCAGTAACTGCAGGTACCCTGGTACTTGAACGTTCTGTTGGGACACCTCATAGCTGATACTCCAATAACTTCTGTGGGAGCACACAAACATTCAATCTCAAAAATCTTTGGGGCATATCAAATTAGGCACTCATAATTTGAAGGGCTTAACAAGTGGACACTTCTGTAAAAGTCTAAACATGATTGCTCAAAAAACACAGCAACTTGATAGAGGAGTCTAGATTACAATTTCTCAGACTTGTTACTAGTCACTAGCCATTCTGAGCCCAGTACCTCCAAAAGAGAATTGGTAAGTGACTTCTAAGGCTCTTTATCTGCACATTTTGTCTGCTATCCACAGTAGTCTCCTAAGGGTTTCTGGAGCTGCCAAAGCTCTGTATCTGTGTTTTATATATAAGTACTTCTTAGATTCTGTAACAAATGATAAGCAATTTACAGGAATCCCATTCAAGACAGGAAAAAAATTACATCCTATTTTAATTAGAAGTTAAACCTTAGAACAGCCCCTAATATCCTACAGCCTTTAAATATTTAATACAGGCTTCCCACTAACAATGCAGATTGTTAATACTCCAGAACATCTGACACAGCTCTTTATTTTACATTGAATTTTGTCATACAGAATAAAAAGAGAATGTGATAGAAGTGTATTTGCTAGACTTGGCCTATAAGAAAGTTACTGGCAGGCTGTAGTAGCAATCTGAAAAAGAGACTGAAGAAGACAGGTTAACTTGCTGGAAAAGGAAAAAAAAATTCTTAATAGACCCACTTTACATGAGAACATAAATGCTATCTTTAAAATCCTTTATTTTTTCCCCAGATTAAAAAGTGTGTTACGATCCCTGTAAATTCTGCTAGCTTTCTTTCAACACTCCATTCAAAATGCTTGATATTTCTTAAGAAAAGAGATGGTGTTAGATTACATGTTTGAATCTGGAAATGCACACTCTGTTCTCAGTTCTGTCACAGTTCCTGTATGACTTTCAAAAGGTTGTTACCCTCAGGGTTTGGCTTCCTCATCTAAAAAGCAGCAAACAGATTTCACCTCCATTATGTTTGATGACACTCCTTAATATTTGTAAAGTGTTTTGAAGTTTTTGCCTTAACCGTGTTGTTTTTCAAAACAGACCTTCGTACTGACTCATGAATAACCACCAAATTTGGCTTGGCTAAAAGTACAAATAGTTAACCCTAATGCTAAGTTTCAAATAAATTAAGGAACGATATCGAGTATCCACTCAAACACAGATTAAAAAAAAAATAATTAGAATTCTATTTCAAATGTAAATTACCTATAATTTGCAATACTAATGAGAAACCTCTTTCTCAAATATAATCACTTATTTATATCAAAGACAATAAGAATGCAGGAGTGTCATCACAGTTTAGAAGTTTAAAATATCACAATCATCCCATTTTCCACAATAAGGATAATGCAACTAAGTCAAATCAGACACTGTATAGTATCTATATATATAGTCCATATTAGACACTACAGCCAACAAAAAGTCTTTTAGTCCACCGTTAGTCCGACACAACTAAACTATAAATTAATACTGTGTCAAGTCCTATCAACTTATTCATCTTGCATCATAATCTCCAGAAAGAAAAACACACTGCTCGGTCAGTAAAAAAGATTGCTTTTCAAATCACACAGTATTTCCTCTGGTCTTGCAGGTATGGCAACTGTGCTATAAAAAAGTATACACTAAGAAACCTTGAATCTTAGCATTCATGCATGAAATTCGTGCTAGAAAGAAGTCTGCAACAGTAAAAATAATTCCAGATTTAAAATGTTATGCAGACATCAGCTGTCTTATATCTATACCAGTGTCTTACAAACCATAGCTAAGGTATGTTGAAGAGTGATTTTCCTAAATCTTCCTGCCAGACTAGAATTTCATCATTTGGGGAATTAGAAAACCAATTCTTCAGAGTTTCCTTTAACTGCAGAATATACTTTCAAGGCAGTTTACAATTCAACATATGTTAGAAGACCTTAGAGGAGATATTTGCCTTGACCATCTGTTATATATCAAAATACCCTGCCCAGATACACATATTGGCATATGTTGAATTAATGCATTTTTTCCTAATGAATAAAGGTCTCAAATAAAAACAGAATTGTGTGCAACACCCCAGAATCATAGGAAGTACCTGATGGAGACACAGGGGCAGTATCTTTGAATCCATCTGCTCAACCTCTTCACGGAGCAAAGAGAAAAGAGACTGCAACGTTTGTTTTTGTTCTTTTTGGTGAAAGTTTTCATTTGCTTCAACAGCACCTTCAGCATGCACAGAAACTGTATCTGTAATCAGAGTATTTTCCTCCTTGATTGCTGTGGTTCCCACTGTAGGAACTCCTTTAAAAAGAATAAGTACTTGGGTTAGGATTCAAAAAATACATCGAGTTGCTTTTTTAGGAAATTTCAATACAAAAGCTACGAGTAAAAACCTAGTATCTTCAATAACATCCCTGCAACTCAATAAAATACGGGCCGTGTCAAAATTATTTGTCATAAGTCTGTCATAAGTGTCAGCTTACCTACCTGAAAAAACACAGTAACATACACCAGGTATTTTTGTACACTTCTAACTGAGACCTGACTTTAACTTGGGGGGAAAAAAAATCACCTAGTCTAAACTGTTTTACAGAGTTATTAATAAGAGACCAGGATGATCTAAAATAAAAAGTGTTGTGACTGGTGTTACAGCTTCAGCTAAAAAAAATCAATACTTAGATCCAAGTGGACAAACTTCTATGTTAAGACTGAATTGTAATACAGAGACAGAAAGCAAGGTTGTTTGCAACACAGTTTTGCTCAAAAAGGGCAAAAAGAAGGTAGGTGAGGAAAGTATGAATGAGGTTCTCAGTTTTTCTCTTCAGTCCTGCCAAGGACCTTGTACAGGGAGATATCCCGGGGAAGGCAGGAAGGAAGGATGGACAATACGACCTGTTCAGATGATAACACAGTGGCTCCTTGCAGTGATGACAGGAGCTTAATGGACAAAAAGAAGCAGATGATGACAGTGGAGGATTCTATTGTGGGGGACATATGTCCAGGAGGACTGTCCTGCTGAGTGAAAAGGAAGACCCCCCTAGACAGTTGGATAATTTGAGAGTTGAGGGAATGAGCCAGTAGTGGTGATCTACATTGGTAACAATGACACAAGGATGCGTAAACTGAATTTAGGCTCCAGAACTTCTTGCTAAGCAGAAAACTAGGTTCTCCTGGCACATTCCCTGGTAGTCCACTGTTGCCCATCTCCAATTTTACTGAAGTCAAAAGTCAGACATGGAGGTGGAGGACTAGCAACATATATGAAAGATAATGTAAAGCATAACAGTATAAAAAGATTACAGGAAAAACTTTCTGGGTGCAAATCCCACATTTTATGTTAGAAATGCAGTATTTGTAGTATATTGCTGGTCATGAATATGATAGTTATCAGGAAATGTTAAATGAGATTAGGGAAGAAGCGTAGAGCAGGCAACAGCAGGGGGAGAAATCAACTATCCATATACAGACTGGACCAGTTTCTCACTGTATTGGGTTTGTGTGGCAGGGTTTTGGTAGCAGGGGAGGGGCTACAGGGATGGCTCCTGTGAGAAGCTGCTAGAAGCCTGTCTGGCTCCAAGTTGGACCTGCCGCTGGCCAAGGCCGACCCAATCCGCGACAGTGCACCTCTGGGATAACATATTTAAGACGGGAAAACCTGCAGTGGAGAGGGGAGTGGGGTGCGAGAGAAAACTCTCTGCAGACAGCAAAGTCAGTGAAGAAGGAGAGGGAGGAGGTGCGCCGGAGGAAGTAATTCCCTTGCAGCCCATGAGCAGGGGAGCAGATGCCCACCTGCAGCCCATGGAGGACCCCACACCAGAGCAGGGGGATGCCCCCAAAGATGGCCGTGACTCCATGGGAAAGCCAACGCTGGAGCAGCCTGTGCCTGAAGGACTGCAGCCCACGGAAAGGACTCACACTGGAGCAGTTCATGAAGAACTGCAGCCCATGGGAAGGACTCGCGTTGGAGAATTTTGTGGCAGACTGTCTCCTGGGAGAGGGACCCCAGGCTGGAGCAGGGGAAGAGTGAGGAGTCCTGCCCCTGAGGAGGAAGGAGCTGCAGAGACAACGTGTGATGAACTCAACGCAACCCCCATTCCCTGTGCCACTGGGGGGGAGGAGGTAGAGAAAATTGGGAGTGGAGTTGAGGCCAGGGTGAAGGGAGCAGTGGAGGGAAGTTGTTTTAAGATTTGGTTTTACTTCGCATTATCCTACACTGATTTGATGGGTAACAAATTAAATTGATCTTGGTTTCCTTCCTCTCACCCCCCCTCCGAGTCTGTTTTTTGCCCGTGACCGTAATTGGCAAGTGATCCCTCCCTATCCCTGTCTCAACCCGTGAGCTTTTGTTATATTTTCTCCCCGTAATCCCACCAGGCAGGAGGAGTGAGCGAGCGGCCTCATGGTGCTCTGTTGCCGGCTCGGCTTAAACCACGATGCTCACAAAGATAAGAGAATAAAAGCAATAAATGATGGCTTCCTATATCACACAGTCTTAGGAGTAACCAGAAAACTATAGTTTATTCCACCAAGTAATGAACACTTTTTTTCATAAAACAACACTGAATTTGATATATTTACATAGGACTGACTTTCAAAAAAATAATCCCATAATTTTTTTAAACAATTTATAGAGAATTTGGCCACTGAAATGTGCACAATAAACTTTTACAAACTCAAGTTATGATGAGTATGTTATTCTTCCGCAGCTACACCCATTTTCTGAAAATCATGTTATCATTTAAAAGCAGGACAGGTAGGAGCACTGTTTCAAGTAACCATCACACTGTTTCTACAGCTTGGGCGCTCAGCATATTTCAGACCCCCTCATGTTCATTGCAACTGAAACCCTATAGTGATGATTCAGGTTTAAGATTTAGGGCTTAAGAACGGTATTAACTTGTCTGCTGAAGGTTCCACTGTTCTGTTTCTGGTTATTTTAAACTTTTTATTAAATAAACTATCCAGGTCAGGAGTACTAATAATCTCTGTGGGTGGCTATTTTCACTGGGCTTACTGCCAGGCAAAATATGGGTGTAACTTAACATTGCTTTTTTGATATTAATGCATGTCTCTGCTTTTCCAGTATTTATTTGAGCTTGCTGTGGGCCAAAAGCAACAAGGGACATAACTGGATGCAAGATAAAAACCAGGAAGTACTTTTAGAGATGGAATTAAGGCTGTCTTTAAAAATACAGCTTTCTGTTCAGCACATGATCATGAAGCCAGAAAAGAGGGTCCACATGTTCTGGCAAACCTTTTGTCTCAGAAAAAAAAAAAAAGTCACTTCAAACTGCACTTTATTAAGCAGGTAATAATCACCTGTCATATCAAAACATGAAAGTTGACTGAAACATGTTCAATAACTACTATAATGAAAAAACTTTATTTTAATGTTACAGTGGTACTGGTGCTAATGCATAGTTTATAAAGTGCATATTATTCCTACATATAGTTGAGCTGTCACTCACTTGGAATCCAATTCTGTGCTCAAATTACTCCCCTGATTCTGAAGCAAGGCCTTACAGCCATTCAGGTTAATTCTACCTTGTTCTATTTTAAACACAAGACGGCATTTGTGCCTTAGTAGCACCATAACCAAGAACTTTTCTTGAGGCAGTTAACACTTAGTGATGCTATTTTGTCATAAAAGTGTTATCTAAGATCGCTATGCATTTATTTTTTCTCTATGTTCTTGAAAACGGAGAATGCACAACACTGCTTTTTCCTGGAATCAATCAATCTTACTGTCCAAAGCAGATTATTTTTTTTTTACTATTGGTATCTTACATATATTTCCAATATTTTAAGAAGCAAGGATTAATTTTTTTCACTTTGCAAAGCCTTGATATTTACTCCATACATTGATATTTGGTTCCATACCTTTAAGAAAGCCTTTAAGAAAATAAATGTGAAAAAACACACAAAATATTAACCCTCCCATGGCCAGAGCACTCACTAGGAATGTGGCAGAGAGCTGGATTCAAGTTTCTGCTCTGCCAGACTCACAGAGGTTTCAACTGACATTTTCTATGCCCAGTTGGGTGTGCCAGTGTCTCCTAAGACATGGAGAGAAGCAAACTTTCTCAAAATTTCCCTAAGAGTTCACAGAAGCAGCCCCATGTTTGCAAAAAGATCCAATTTTGACAGGCCTTGTGAATAAAAATGACAAATGCATTTTTCAATATGTCTCACCTTTTTTTATCAGTACTGCAAGTATATGAAATTAAGATGCTCTTGCCACCTGCCTGAGAATGAGTCAGAGGTGAAAGTATGAAGCATTTGCTATCAAAATAAAACTATAGAAATTGTCCTCTGTTTTTGTAATTGAATTTTAATTTTCACATTGAGTAGCATTAGCTTAAGTCACCAGTAACAGAAGCTTCTAGTACAGAAAACATATGGTAATCTCTCTTTTAAACATTCTTTGGTACTCATTACCAGAAAGCTGATTCAGACTGATTCATTCAAGAACTATTAAATAAAAAAAAAAAAAGACCAGCAAGTATTTAAAAAAATATTTCATTTTTAAGAGAAGAGATTTTAAGACAGGAGTGTTGGCAGTAAAGATATAACTCTAACTGAGGAAGCTCAAAATCTTTAGTGCGGCACAGAACCCTAAATAAAATAACATTGCTTGAATTTTCATATAATTTGACTAGTTTATATTCATATATTTCATTTGCTGCAACACCAAATCCATCGCAACCACTCCACTTTCTTCCCCTACCTTCAAGCTGCTTCAAGAAATAAGTTGAATAATTTACAAGAAAAGCATATGTTGCAGAATTTAACTTGGGGAAAAATGATTAAGTGCAAGTTACTGTGCTATACTACATTAAGGAATGACACTGTGATTTTACAATATTAGGTTAGTAGTTATGCCAGGACTGATCTTTTGGAAAAAGTTGAAATTATTTGCAGAGAAGAGGGATAATTTGAAGTCCATATTTACAAAAATACATTGAAGCAGATGACGCTTCATGAATCACTATCTCTACTGCACTAAAGTTAGTACAATTCATTACAAGGAATCCAAGTATGAATAATGACCAAAGTTTAAATTTGTCAATTTAAATTTACATCACTTCTTTGATCACAAGTGTCCTCCTTAATATAGTCACAGTCTATTCAAAACTATCATTAGTATACAAAAAGAATGTGAGAGAAATTTGGGATCTGGAAGCTATAGACCTGCCAGTTCACTCTAAGACATCTACTGCAGCATGAGGACAGCTAAAAGGAGGTGCTTCTTCAAACAATGCATAGGTGAAATCTTGGAACTACTTATTCCGGGACAAGGAAACGGACTCAAAAAACAACTGCAAGTCAGGTGACAAATTCACTGTAAGCTATTACAGTCTATCAGTTCCCACTTGGGGAAGTCCTGAATGGATAATTACTGATGGCAAGGAGAACACAGGAACAAATCACTACCTCTTTGCCTTGTCCTTACACTTTTACCTACCCACCCTCTATTGGCCACTGTCAGGGGAGGGACATTGAACTAGGTGAATCTTCAAACAGATATAGTGATTCTTAATCTTGCATTCCAGTCTACTGATTGTAGGAGCTAGGGTAATTCTAGCTCCAACATATTCCAAGCATACACAGAAACACAATAATCAAATACTTATAACTGTTTATGCTTTATAAGCAAATATTTAGAGGGTTTCAAACACATTGCAAGTGCAAGCACTTGCTCTTTCTTCTAAAGTAAAAACATATCTCCAGAGCAGAAGATTGGCTTCTCTAATGATCACCAATCTTCTGCTGAGCAAGTCCCGAATAAATAAAAATAAGTAAAAAGTAGTTTTTGCTATTCCAGGTTCATTGCTTTAGTCACTAGCAAGAGAAGGAATATGAACAACAGGCTTTTTAAGTCAAAAGTCATCTTTTCCAGAACGACAACATTTAACAGCAACCCTAACAAGTTTGCTTATAGGGAAAGAGAAGAAGATTCATAAATCTCTTCTTTAGCTATGAGTCAAAGTAACTCATCCATGATTTCTCAATAGTTAAAAATAAAAATTAAAAAATAAAATCACCATAATACATGCCATGCAAGTATTCAGTTTTTGATTCCAGCTTGCTTGTGTGGCGCTCTGTTGCGACCCACTCAGGGATCTTCCACTCTGGTTTGATTATTCTCTCCTTTATCTCTGAGTTGGTATAAAGACAGGAAAGCTAGTTTGGTTCTTTTATGTAGAGGGATACTCAGGAATTGTATAAAATAGCTGGTGTTAAAAATTAAATGGAAGTTTCTTACTAAAACAAAGACATTTGCAACATCAAGAAATTGTGACACAGTCACTGCATTGTCTGAAGACAGGAGAACCATCATGTGAGAATATCTAAAAAGCTAAATGTAAATTAGCCCATAATCAATGGGAGATATAATGTAATTTTATATTTTGATCTTCCTTCTGTGAACAGTCAAGGTTCTTAATAAAGTAGTAAATGTTTGTTCATAGGAATTCAACAAAACTCTTAAGAGTTTTGCAGGCAGGACGTTCTCTGTTGTGATATTTTACATCTCTAGATTTTTCCATTAAATTTTCTGTATTTCAGACTTCTGCTTTTAGTTGCCTTAAAACTGCTATCTACCATGCACAGCTCATTTTGTGATACTTCTGCATCAGTTGACTGCATTTATCAACAAGAATATAAACTCATAGAGAAAGAATACAGGCAAAGTTTAACTTTCAGTGTTTGGGTGAATTTCTCCTTTTCTTTCTCTCATCATGCTTCAGATACCTCTGTCCACATGTCTGTATCACATTTCACCAACTTTTGCTATTCCCGTCATATAGATGACTGGTTCTCAATTACTTCTGCTAATCTCTTGTTTTAATTAAGTATTGTCTTCCATTTTTAAACATTAAATCTACAGCTGAAATATACACTTAATGACTTTCTGCATCATTTAATGAGAACTCATTCTCCCTGTAATGACAGATTTCAGCATGCTCCTACTAAAAAATATAATTTTTCTCTTCTAGATTTTGCCTATACGTACAAAATATGGAATGCAAGGCTTCCTTCCTTTCCCTTCTTTACCTATTTTATTATCCTTTAAGATCATCATCAATTTTCAGATTAGGCCACAAAAGACTTGTTCTTTAGCAGGAAAATTGTATTTTAAAATTATCTACTTTAAGTAGCCAAATCTACCATTTCAGTCTTCAGATGAAAAAAAAAAAAAAAAAGGCACGGGGAAAAAAAAAAAAAGCAGGCATGATTCGGTTGTTCCAAGTAACTTTCAAAGATACCTATGCAATGAAACACATTGATTTTAATTAATATATCTGCAGCACTATGACACATAACACAACTGACATTTATGATTTATGGCAAAAAAGCCTAATATAGTAACAACACATTGTGTTGATGCAGACAAATCCTACTCATTCAAAAAGGGAAAAAGCATCTTAAATAAGAATATGTAATAAACATTTACATTTTCCTTATCTAATTCACATCCAAAAGACCTAAAGGAGAAGTAACATCAAAAATTGGTAGAAACACATTTTTTAACAGCTCATTAGCCAAAATGCACATCCTAAGACTATCTATTAAGCTTTGAAAAATGTAAGGAAACTTTGACAACAGGCCAAGATCAAGCTATTTGGTACTTATACCAAGATTTCAAATCTTGACACTGGATCAAGACATCAAAATCTTGCACTAGAGCACAATGTTCAAATGAACAAAACCATTGTATTGGGTTTGTGTGGCAGGGTTTTGGTAGCAGGGGAGGAGTTACAGGGGTGGCTCCTGTGAGAAGCTGCTAGAAGCCTGTCTGGCGCCAAGTTGGACCTGCCGCTGGCCAAGGCCGACCCAATCCGCGACAGTGCACCTCTGGGATAACATATTTAAGACGGGAAAACCTGCAGTGGAGAGGGGAGTGGGGTGCGAGAGAAAACTCTCTGCAGACAGCAAAGTCAGTGAAGAAGGAGGGGGAGGAGGTGCGCTGGAGGAGGTGATGCCCCTGCAGCCTGTGGTGAGATGGCAGGCTGTCCCTCTGCAGCCCATGGAGGTGAGTGGAGGACCCCACACTGGAGCAAGGGGATGCCCCCAAAGATGGCCGTGACTCCATGGGAAAGCCAACGCTGGAGCAGTCTGTGCCTGAAGGACTGCAGCCCATGGAAAGGACTCACACTGGAGTAGTTCATGAAGAACTGCAGCCCATGGGAAGGACTCGCGTTGGAGAATTTTGTGGCAGACTGTCTCCTAGGGGAGGGACCCCAGGCTGGAACAGGGGAAGAGTGAGGAGTCCTGCCCCTGAGGAGGAAGGAGCTGCAGAGACAACGTGTTATGAACTCAACGCAACCCCCATTCCCCGTCCTGCTGCACCACTAGGGGGAGGAGGTAGAGAAAACAGGGAGTGGAGTTGGGCCTGGGAAGAAGGCAGGGGTGAGGGGAAGTTGTTTTAAGACTTGGTTCTACTTCTCATTATCCTACTCTGATTTGATTGGTAACAAATTAAATTGATCTTGGTTTCCTGTGACCATAATTGGCGAGTGATCCCTCCCTGTCTCAACCCATGAGCTTTTTGTTATATTTTCTCCCCCTCATCCCACCAGGCAGGAGGAGTGAGCAAGCGGCCTCATGGTGCTTTGTTGCTGGCTGGTCTTAAACCATGACAACCATATTGCCTGAATTTCTGGGCATTCTGATTTGGAAGTCGGCCCAATTTCCACACTGAAACTCTGCACCTCCCTGTATTCGTCCTTCCTTGATATGTTCCATTTGCTACGTAGCCAATGTTTAAATACAGAAGGTGAAAACATCTAGAGTTGGATCTGATTTAGGATTATTAACAGTTCTGAAAAAAAACCATCCCCAAACCTTCAGTGTAATTTTAAAAATAATTAGTATGACAACTAAAATATATCTTTCTTATTAGTTCACAGACTAGAACTACAGCGTTATTATTTTAAATAAACAGAACAAAACTATTTTTTTTATAAAGTACCTTTAGATCTTTTACTGGAGTTTCTTTTGCTTCTTGGACTTCTTTTTCCACCTGGCTGTTTTTCAGCAATAGGCTTTTCTTCCAGCTGGGGGTCCATATGGACATTTACAGATCTCCTCTCATTCTCACTTTCCTTACAGCTTGGGGTACAGTCGCCACTGTCCATATTCTCATTGTTATTGATGCTGTCCTGCTCACCTTTATCCTGTCGTCCCATAGCAATGCTACTACTGGTCAGAACCTCGTTCCCATCATTGTCAAGTTGATTTTCATTTTCATCAGCTGAAGAAACCAAATTGGATGCCAAACTTTCCACCCTATAGTCAGCTGAAAGACTCTCCTTTGAGTCTATTTGTAGATCATTTGGTGGAAATTCTCTGTCATCCATTAGAGCGTTATTTGTTGAACCACTTAAATCTCCCTCCAAATATTTTTAGACCTAAAATATAAAACCAAAAGAAGCATTTATAATACATACATTATAATGGATAAATAACCTTATACTTAATGCCAGCCAATAAAAAATCACATTAGCCAAGCAATACGGTTTAAAAGCATGGGGAAGTTATTTCAAACAGTAATCCATTGCCCCATTGTAAGTCTTAAAGCAAAGCATATCTACATAGAAAAAACTATCTATAAACTTGTACTTTTATCCAATTATAATCAGTTCCAGTTACCTGACCAATAGCACAGCTGATCTTTACAGCAGTGTTCACAGTGTTTAGCTGAGGTAATGAGAAAAACAAAAAGATAAACAGAAACCACCCCCACCACCTCCCTTTAAATCCATGGCTAAAACAAAAGCATTCTTGTCACATAAGATCATAGTTTGCCTGACAAAAATAAACCAGTGAGGAATAAAAGCAGAACAACTTTTAATTCTGTCAGTGATGGTATCGCATCAAATATGCAGATAGATTAACTCTGTTACAAGAATTAGATGCAAGTAGAACCTGTTTATTGACTCAGACTGTCACTTTATTTTCAAGAAAACATTCAACATGTCTTCAGTAAACACAGAAGCAGATGGTTTGTTAATAAAACCCCCTAATCCCCCACCTACTCTCAGCAGGGGTCAATTTTACCTTTTTGTGAACATGCAACTCTAATCAATACTGCAATTAGATGCATATTCACAGGAAAAAAAGTGTAACTTAGCAACAGAGTTACACAGCATTTATACAGGACTGTTATTCAGTTCCTTTCTTTAGCTTTTAGAAGCATGGCAATACTGCTGGTTTAACTTAGCAACTACATAGATGAAATACAGGTCCATTATGTACACCTCATTAGATTTAGCTCACATTTTAAATAGTGAAGCCAAAAATCAGCAACTCTTATATTATAAAAGAGCTTAGACAAGCGTCCTGCAGCAGCTTCCTATCTTTTCCTTTAAATGAAGGCATTTTAGGAAACCTGTCTTCACCAGGCTTTCCTCAGTCTTATGTCCTGGTATATACAACTGAAATAACTGAAATATACACTTGCTAACTATGCAAGATAATGTTTCATTTTACTTGCTATTAGAACTCAAACTACAGAAAAATGGAAAAAATGCCTTAGAGAATAAGTAGGTTTTCCTTCATCCACAGAAACATATTTCTGTTAAAGATTACTAAAAAGATTTTCCCAAATTTTTTCCTCCACAACCTTTACAGTTGTTAAAAGGACTGGAAAAAAGAAAACGTTACTCCTATCTTAGAGAAGGACAAGGAGGAGGATTTGGGGAAGCTACAGGCTGCTCAGCCTCACCTCAATCCCTGGGAGGTAATATAGCAAGCAATCCTAGAAACCATTTTTGAACATATGAAGGACAAGAAGTGTCATCAAGAGTAGTCAGCATGGATTTATGATGGGTAAATAGTGCTTAACAAACTTGACAGGCTTCTACAACGAAGTGACTGGCTCTGCAGAGGAGAGAACAATAGATGCTGTTTACCTTGACTTTGGTAAGGCTTTTGACACTGTCTCCAATAACATCCTCACAGACAAGCATACAAAGTACAGGCTAGGTAAATAGACAGTGAGGAGTTCCAGGGAAGCATGCAGAGAGGGACAAGCAACCACCAGCTGGGCAACACAAAAGCAAAAGTCAGCACCAACTAGGACAACTCCATCTCTGTTTCCAACCTGAAGAACTTGTTAACCATTTCCAGCCATACCAATCTAACAAAGAATACTGCCTATCCTATAACATATAAGCTGCACCAGGGGAGGTTTAGACTGGACATTAGGAAGCATTTCTTTACCAAGAGGGCAGTCAAACACTGGAACAGGCTTCCTAGAGAGGTGGTCAGTGCCCAAGCCTGTCACTGTTTAAGAGGCATTTGGACAATGCCTTTGATAACATGCTTTAACTTTTGGTCAGCCCTGAATTGGTCAGGCAGTTGGACTACACGATCGTTGTAGGTCCCTTCCAACTAAAATATTCTATTCTATTCCAGAAGAATAATGAATTGTACAGTAGAGACGCAAATCGTCTTTTCCTTTGGCAACCAAATAAGAGAACTGGCTTTCCTTGAGCACCAGAAAGACAAAGAAGTGAACTCTATAGGAGATACATATCTGGAGAATGCATCTGTTCATTAGAAGGATGCTCCCTAATCAAGCTGTTTTCTTTCAAAGAGAGTTAAACACAAAACAAAAGGTTAAAAGGAAGACAGAACTTTAATCAGACCAGCAAGAATCAGAACTAGAAGATATTCTTTACAGACACCCACACTACAGTAATGTTGATTTATTGATGATAACTGTTCTAAAGCATTAAAAAAACCCAACCCCAAACACCATGTTAAACTTGAAGGGTTCACTTCTTACTCTTCCTAGCATATAAAATCATAACAACTGCTGCCCTCCCCAGCTCATAGATTAAATGATACATCAAACAAAAGAGGTTGAAATAAATTGCCCAAAGCCAATGAGGAATTAGTTTTAACAGCAATAATTAAAAATCAGGATGTCCTACCACCACTCTCTTGCGTCTATGAGTAGAAAAGTTTATCCTTTCAACAGCTATCACAGGGAAATAGAAATGTGAATGCATTTGAACAAGGTGTTTCCTATTAGATTGTGCAAAAAGAGGAAAAGATGGTTTTGACAAGTGACATTTTCTATAGCGGAAGCTAACAGTTTGATAGAAAATATTAACTCATTTCCTTTTAACATGTGGCTAAGATGATAGTCCCTCTCTCGCTGAAGGGCTAGAGAGCTTCTGCAGCTAGCACAGGCCAACATTTCTTGGTTTATAGTTTGAAACTCAATACTTCTCCAAATAAAAGTAGCCCTGAAAATCTATTCCTTTCTACAGTGCTTATGACTCCTTAGAGAATGAAAATCCAGAAAGAGCTAGTTCAAAGAATGTAGAGCAGTCATGATAATCTTTTAAAAGGATTCCCCCCCCCCCAACGGATGAAACTTTTTTCCTTCCTGGTTTTCAATGTTGATACCTGCTATTCCTTTTGACCTTACTAAGGCACTAGGCAGGTACCAAAGTGAAGCTAAATCTTGTGAGGAGGAACTTTAGCTCTGTCTAAAAACACAAGTAGAAACACTTATTTATAAACAAAAATGGAATTAAAATCACCAGTGATTTGATTGTATCTAACAGACCATTAACATTCAGTTACTATATTTATTGCTTTGCCATTGAAATGAATTGTACACACAAACAACATGCTAAGAAAAAGATGTTTGTTTCTTCCTAGGCACATCTTTCCTCCCTTCACTGGTTGCTCAAAATTTAAATAAAAGCCAATATTGAGTAGACCTGTGCTGACCTCTGTTAAAAGGTGCCGATGAATGAAAGTGCTTCAGTTCCAGTTGCCACACAGATTCATGCAATTGGCATATATAATCATGGTGATTACAGCGCAAATCAAAAATATGATGGAAAATACTTGCCAAGTGGCTAAAAACCAAAGTCCGTATTGAAGGAATTAGTTGTATGTTTGTTTGCTTCAGGACAAGCAGTATGTGCATTACAGAAAAATCATGGTAGTTGCTTATATTTTAGGTCAATTTCAAATTTAAAAAGCCCATTGCTCTTCAGTGTTCTCTTTCATGTACTTCATATAATTTCAACAACTTTTTTCATTGCTCATTTTTGTGTGTGTAGAGAGCCTTTCTTCCATCTACACTTACTAAGGAAACACAACCTTAAATACAGTTGTTTGGATTGTATTCTGAAAAAAAGACAAGAACTGGGATCTCTCCTGACCTGGCACAGCTGAAATTTGAAGATGACAATAAAAAAAAAAAACAACAACCAAACCCACAAGCAACTCACTCCCTCCCCCCAACCTTCATACTAACACAGCTCTTCTATCCTGTGAAGCTGGTGGGTTCTGTGAATTTTTACTGAATATATAACATAGTATTTCATTTACTGATCTCAGAAGTATCTTACAGAACAGATCAAGATCATTACCCTATAGCTGCTGGCAAAAGGCTAAAAAGGTTCTCATTCAAAAAGTTTATGGCAAATAATTTTTTTATTCCATTTGACTGTCTTCATATAGCTCCTCTGCCAAAGACACTATATTCCCTCTCTCATTCTCATGCCATTTAATTATTCTATGTTAATTAGAGAGATTTAAATCTTTTAATTCTTTGAAAGTCAGCTTCCCCATTATATCACCTGTATTGCTGTATTCAAATTGAATGGGCATTTCAGATTAGTTCCCAGTGTTGCTTCTACTCAATCTTTTTATTGACTTTCATGATAAAACACAATAGCTATATAAAATCTGCAGTTAGAAGCAGTCCTAAGTATTTTTGAGGATTTAATTAAAAATTAATTGTAGCAATAAGTGCTCCAAAAGGAATAACGTGAAATTCACTAAGACGAACAGAACACACCGTATCTTAAATTAAATGAAGCACATCTATATGAAACGGGGGTTAACCAGTCATTCTGTTCTGAGGAAAAGTATCTCATAGATACCAAACAGAAAACTGACCACAGGTCCAAGTGGTTTCTTTCTCCTGAGATATAATACAGAAAGTGTTACAGGCACAAGAGAATTAATTATGTCCTACCAGACACTAATCAATTACAGCTATGTATTTTTTTTTGTGCACAATACACACAAAACAAGATGTACACAAGTAAGAGAACCTAGATCATAGTAGGGTAAGAGCATTACAGAGGAAGGGACAGCACTACACGTGGTAACAATTATTCAACCTAGAAAAGGTTGCCATATAAACAACCAAACAGTCTAGAGATGTTGTGGAATCCCCATCCATTTAAAGAAGAAATTAAGCAAGTCTCAGGTTTAAGGACAGGTAAAAAATAAATAATACATAGGATCAAGGGAATTTAATTTTCTTTGTTGTTGCAGGGTTTTTGTCGTCTTTTTTTTTTGTCTTTTTTTTTTTTAATAATACAAGCAGCTTCACAAGTCCTAGAGAAAAAAAATAAAATCATGCTGCTTC